TCACACAGTGAGTCTGAGCGGAGGGAAGACGCCTGAACCAGTGCTCCGAGGTCTGGAGGAGACTCGGAGGTCGGCCGGTTCGCCCTTCCTGGGGTCTGTCCCTGGGGATGCCACCTTCATCCTGCAAGATATTAGCAAACTCACTCAACTTCTCTGGGGTCCTGCTAGTACCAGCTGTGTTGCTTAGAGCTCGGTGCGGGGCATGAGCCCAAGCATCCCAGTGTCTGCTTCCTCAAATTAGAAAAGACTTGCTACTAAGTCAAAGGCCAAAGGCAGCTGTGTTTTCAGAGGCAGAGATAGAACTCAGGGGGTCAGCTTTCCGTCTTCTTTACCTTTGTAAAATAAAGAGCGGGTTTTTTTCCATTGCCTTTTTGTTTAGGTGGTGGGGAATAGAGACAGTCACTGCTCTTACTTCCTGACTCACTGGATTGATGATAAGTCATGAGCCCGGGGATGTAAAGGGGCTGGCCTGGAGTCACACAGCAGAGTCAAGGTTAAGTCAAGTCTCCTGGTCCCAGCCTGGTGTTCCGCCCCCTACCCCATGCTCCAGGCATCCTCCGCCTTCTCTGAGCCCCTCTAGGTGTGGGTTTGGGGGGAACAGTTTCAGCATATACTCTTGCCACTTACCTGGGGGAACTTCAGAGGAAGTCACTTTTCCCTCTTAGAACCTCAGTTTACTCATCTGGAAAATGGAGCTCCCTGTAGCTGTCTAAGTTGTGAGGTGGGGATGATATTTGAATGTGTCTCAATGGGGGCAGTACTGCCCCTAAGTGGACAAAAAAAATTGATTCTAGGAAGGGGAGGTGAAAAAGTCTCACTCTTTTTCTGTATAAAGCCTAATATACATATAGGACAGAAAGATACTTACTGTATATCTATGGTTTTAGAATTTTGTTGAGGGGAGACTAGGAAATGAAAAAGACTCCTTAGGGGGAATGAATAAAAGGTAGGGAAACACTGGTCCGTACCCCGGGGAACCATGTGGTTATTATTACTAACTTTGTGTTTGGAGCTTGTGTTGGCTGCTGGCTTCTGCGGGGGAGCTGTTTGGCGTGTAGGGTCAGAAGAGAGCCTGACCCAGCCCAGACTCTGCCCCTGTGGTTCAGCGTGATCCCCAGGCATGTCACAGCTTCCCATCCATATGTAAAGGGGGTCCCGCCAGCTCCGTGAGTGGGGCCAGGATCCCTCCTGGTGGATCCGTGGGGGTCCAGCAGGAAGCAGATGGCACTTACACGAGGATGATTTGAGGTGTGGGCGGGTGTGGGGAGCCATGAAGAGGAGTGCAGGACCCCAGAGCTACTGGCAGCTGGGGCTGGTCCGCTGAGGCTGGCAGAAGGGGAGGGGAGCGTGGCTGCTGGGAGGCGAGAGCGCAGGAGACCTGAGGGTAGTCCATGGTAGTCGGGAGCTTTGGTGGAGAGAGGCAGCTGGCCCAGGCGACTCTCCTTCCGCCCCTGATCTCCTGCCAGGGCCCCCCATTGGCCAAACCCCATGGAAGCCGGAGGGGGTGGTCTACACCCTGGGGCAGCAGGTGGGGTGGAGAATGGAGAATGGAACTGGGGCTAAGCGGAAGCTGTCCGGAAAGGTGCCTAGATTCCTCTTTCTCTGGCGTGCAGGAGGAAGAGGGGACTCCTACCCTATCCATCCTGCCCTGCAGCCCCCTTGCTGGGTTTCTGCCTTCTGAAGCAGATGAGGTGTAGCCTGGGCTTTCTTTCTTTTTTTTTTTTTTTTTTTAATTTTGAGTTTATTTGAGCAAAAATCAATTTGAATTGTGCAGTGCCGAGCTGGAAGTGGTTAGAGATGCTCCCCCGGGTGTCTGAATTGAAGTTTACGGCTACTTTGGGAGCACCCACGAGGGTCCTTGCTATTTATCTACTGGGTTAGGAGCTAGTGGATAAGTTCCTTTCCTCTAGTCTCAGCTTCCTCATCTGTAAAATGGTAGTTGGACCACGCAGCCTCTGAGTGCCTCTTGCTCAGACCCAGCAGGCAATGGCCGAGATCTGTACAGGCTGTGGAAACATCAGTCTTTTTTATTTTTAAAAAAATTTTTATTTATTTATTTATTTATTTATTATTTTTGGCTGTGTTGGGTCTTCGTTTCTGTGCGAGGGCTTTCTCTAGATGCGACGAGCGGGGGCCTCTCACTGTCTCACTTGTTGCGGAGCACAAGCTCCAGACGTGCAGGCTCAGTAGTTGTGATGCAAGGGCTTAGTTGCTCTGCGGCATGTGGGATCTTCCCAGACCAGGGCTCGAACCCATGTCCCCTGCACTGGCAGGCAGATTCTCAACCACTGCGCCACCAGGGAAGCCCTGGAACATCAA